GAACTCTCATTCTGATAATCCATAATGTCTTTTGTGGTGTTCTAGCATTCTTTGTTCCCTTTCTTTTACCATGTCCAGTATGTCTTCCAAGAATCTTAGCTTGTTTTCTTTCAACAACTCTAGCTCTTGAATGCATAGCAGCTGGTTTCTTAATAATTAATCTGTCTTTAATCAACTTTCTAATAGCTTTTCTACTGTTGGCAAGTGAAATTTCTGGGGTTTCATTTGGGTCTAACCAAACTTTTCTATTACCACATTTAAGGACTGAAGCAGCAAGTCTTTTTTGGAGTTTTAATGAAACCATTCTTTCACTTGATTTTTCAAGTTCATTCTTTCTGAGTTATTTTTCGGTTAGGGTTGTTTTAAGATTTTATATTATTATTTCATTGTATTTTTATTATTAAGTTAATAGTTTATCATTTAAACAAAGAAAATTTTTGGAATATATACCATTTTAAAAAAAATAAAAAACAATTTATCTATAACAAATATTTTAATTTCATTCGTTCAAGAGTGGGTATTAATGATTTGGGGTTATTTAATTCTTCAAGTGATAATCTTTTTTCTTTTGGTAATAAACAGTTTGCAATACATTCACAAAATTCTATTGGACATTTAAATTTTTGTTCTTTAATATAATTTACTTTTTCTTCATCTTTAGTTTGAAGAATTTGTTGAATTGTATTATTCAAATTAAGATGAGATTGATTACCGTCATATTGAAGTAAATAAACCATTAACACTCCAATTGAAAATACATCATTACAATATGTTACTAATTCAGAATTAAGATATTCTGGAGAACTAAAAGGTGATTTTTCAGCATGTTCATTGAATAAAGAAACAGAAGAATTAATAGTATAAATTTGTTTCAAATTACCTAGTTTTAAATTAATATGTTTACCATTCTTTTCAATTAGTATTGTTTTTTCATTTAAATGGTTATGAACAAATCCACGACTATGTAATATTTGAATTGCTTTACAAATATTAAGAGTAAAACTAATAACATCAATAAGAGGTAATCTTCTATCTCTAGTATTAAAGAAATCAAATAAAGTAGGTTCTGTAGTAAAAAGGAATGATGAACAAGTATTTTCATCACTTCTACCATAATACTTAGAGAAATATTTTTGATTGACATTATCAAGAAATAAAGGTGTAACTATTTTATCTTGATAAGTCATAGAATCTTTCTTATCGAAAGTAATAACTTTATATATCTCAGAATTTTTAACTTTTAAAGTAACAAGTCCAGATTGTTCATCAATTTTTCCTAAGAAACTAGAGTCAATCAAACATGATGAATTACATATAATATTTAATGTAAGTTGTTTAAATTCAACTTTATTTAACTTTCCTTCTTCAAAATAATTAAAATATAATTTCATTTTAATTTCAGTAGATGGTTTTAATACTTTAAAATTAAATGAAAATTCTTGAGTTTTTAATTTTCCTTTGTCATTAATAATATCTTCTTGATGTATTTTTGGTAATGACAAAATATCTTTAAAGTCATCAAATAAATAACTTTTACATTTTCTCCAAATCCATAATGAACGAGCTCCACGTTCATATTGGAGATGAAGATTTAGTAATTGAATAAAATAATCATTAAGAGTTCCATTAATTTTAATATCATCTAATAACTCATTCTTTTCTTTTTTAATTAACATCTCAATAGAATCTTTTTTAATTTTCTTTATTAATTCTATTTGATTTTTTTGTGATTGAACATAACATAATAATTTCCCATTAAATTGTTTTTCAATTCGTTCAATAAATTCATTTAAATATTTTCCTCGTTGTTCAGGAGAAGCATTACAAAAAGTAGAAATAAGTAATTTTTTTGTTTCTTCTTCTTCATGTCTTAATAATTTTTCTTTTTCATTAAATAAATGAGAAATGTCTCTGTTATAACTCTTTTCGTTAATTCCTAATAATGAAGTAAATAAATATTTTATAGTTTTTCCTTTTTCTGTAATACTTAATGAATTATTTTCATTTAATTCTGAATTAAATCCATCAAATACAAAATCTGCTTTATCAAAATATAATTGATATTCATCTGATGACATGTCTACTCCAACTACTACAACTTTTTCTTTCCATTCAAAATTTCCTTGTGTAAATAATTCTAATGAAAGAGAATACTCTTTATTTACTATTGCTCCATCAAAGTATAAAAAATTCACTTTCTCACCATTTAAATTAAATTTTGTATCTCTTCCATTATATAAAATTGTTACTTCAGATTTATCTTGAGACATTCTTTAATTTGAAGTTCTTTTTAACTTTGTTATTTCAATTCAAAAAATTGTTATAAAGTCAAAAAAAAAAAATGGTTTTTTCAAAGGTAGTTCAATTCATTTTTTTTTTCTCAATGTTAGATCTGATATTTATCAAACAAACTTAAAATAAAAATAATTTTATTTTTGGTTTAAGAAAGAAAAAAACCCGATTAAATAGGAAAAAAAGAAGGAAAAAAAGAAGCAACTCAATAATAGTAAATAGTAGAGAAACAATGGGATCACTTCTTTCTGTCCCAGTAACTGAACAACAATCTGGAGAAACTAAAGGAGAATTCCTTGATTGTGGATATACCTCAATGCAAGGATGGAGAAGAACAATGGAAGATGCTCATATTGTTGATATTGAATTTACTTGTGAAAATGGTAAAAAAGCATCATTTTTTGGTGTTTTTGATGGACATGGAGGAGATCAAGTGGCTGAATATTGTTCAAAAATCTATGTTGAAACATTGTTAAATACAGATGCATTTAAAGCAGGTAATTACCAACAAGCATTGATTGATACAAATATTAAAATAGATGAACAAATGAGAACACCTGCAGTTAATGATTTACTTAAAACATTAGGAAGTGGAAGTTCTAATATTTATGAAGGAATGTTTGGAGACCTTGTTGCTGATGGTATGGGATGTACATCAGTTGTTATATTAATTATTGATAATACTATTTATTGTGGAAATGCAGGAGATAGTAGAAGTGTTATGCTTAAAGGAGATAGTGTTATTCCATTAAGTATTGATCATAAACCATCATTACAATCAGAAATAGATAGAATTACATTAGCTGGAGGAACTATTGACAATGGCAGAGTTAATGGTAATTTAAATTTAACAAGAACCATTGGTGATTTAATGTATAAACGACAAAGTGAATTACCTCCTCAAAGCCAAATTATTTCATGTTATCCAGATGTTAAACAAGAAGCCATTGATGGAACTGAAAAGTTAATTATATTAGCATGTGATGGAATTTGGGATGTATTAACAAATGAACAATGTGTAGAGAAGGTTGTTGAATATTTGAAACAAGGAAATTCATTAAAAGAAACATGTGAGAAAATTGCTAATGACTGTTTAAGTAAAGAGCCATATTCTAAACCAGGATGGGATAACATGACATTATTAGTAGTAAAGTTCAAATCTTTTAATCCACAGCCTGATATAACTACTGTTGTTACTTCATCACAAGAAAAAGATGAAGGATCAGTAACAAAATAATAGAAATTGAATTTATTTTTGGGATTAGTTATGAAAAGATGATTTTATTAAGGGTAAAGTTATTATTTGTCATTTCGTTTTATTAAAAAAAAACTTGAAAAATATATTTGTATTATTTATGCATAGCAATTCATCAGATGAACTTGATGAACATATTAAATTAAGATCCTGTTCTCCTTCTTTATTTGTTTTAAGTGAACAAGAAAATGAAAATGAAAAAGATATTGATTTTGTAGAAACTGAAGCAGAAGAAGAACAAGAAATTTCAAATCAAGGAGACACTACAGAAGAAAATAAAAATGACGTTACAGAAGATGTTGAAGATATTCCACTTGATATTAATTTACATGGAGAAGCATTTGAATATATTATTATTGCATATGGTCAACAATTTGCTAAAGGAAAAAGTGTTACAATTAAAGAATTAGTTGATATGAAAGAAAGAATTCAAAGTGCTGGTCAAAAATTAGAGAAAATTCCATTATGGTTAGACATTTCACCTATTACTGATGATTGTGCAAATGGAATAAGAGATATTTTTGAATTACACCCATTAACTGTAGATGATTGGTTTACAAAAGAGTCAAGAGAAAAAGCAGCATTTTTTGAGAATTATTTTGCTATTACAATAAATGAAATGAGATACATGGATGACACTAATATATTAAAAACATATTTATTATATATTGTCATTCAAAAAAATATTGTTCTTACTGTACATTCAGAACCAATTATTGCAGTTAATGAAGTAAGAACAAGAATATCAAAAAAGTATCAAGGTTCATTTCCTAGTGCACATTGGGTATTATATGCTATTTTAGAACTTATTATTTCAAATTATTCATTGATAAATGAAAATTTATATTCAGATGTTGAGACAATAGAACAATTATCACTTGTTTCAATACATAATGATCAAGATGAATTTTTAGGAAGAATTGGAGATCTTAAGAAAAGAGCTAAAATACTTCAATTTCTTGTTTTAGCAAAGAAGTCATTTTTAAGATTTATATTAAAGTCAAAGTCAAAGATGGTATCAAAGAATCTTAAAATTTATTTAAGAGACATTTTAGATGATACATTACGGTTATTAGAAAAATTACAATCATTGATTGATTCAATTGAAAATCATCAAGAAACATATTTTGCGAAAATTACTTTAAGTGTTAATCGATATGGTGAAGAAGAGAATAAGTTAATGAAAGATTTTGGAGCAATTGCAATATTATTTTTACCTATGACATTTATTGCTTCATTATTTGGTATGAATGTTACTGTTCCAGGAAAGGATATTCAAAATTTATTATGGTTTAGTGTTATTATGATAATTTGTCTTGTATGGTTTGTTGTTGGTATGATATTTTTTAAGAATTCACGTTGTTTTTAAAAAAAAATGTAATTAGAGTATTACTCGTGTATTACGTATTGTTTACTTATTATTTAATTTAATGAAAAAACAAAAAAGTAAATTTTAATTACCAAATCCTTCACCTTCAGATTCTTCATATCTCTTTAAATGCATTTGTATTGCTTGATTAAAAAGTGGTTTAAATGCAGCTCCAATAGAGTCCCAATTTGAATAATCAAGATCGGATGCTGATAATTTAAATTCATTGTCTTTACAAAAACTATTAAAATCTTCTTCAGTAAAAGCACAACTTTCACTATCTTCTAATAAGTCATGTTTAGTACATACAACTGTAAATGGTGCTTCTCTATTATATTCAGTTGCACCAAACCTTTCAGAGAACATAGTTTGTTCAATATGTTGACCAATATTTTCTAAACAATCTCCATTATCATAAGAACAGACAATAATATACCCATCACCTTTATTAGCACGTGAAGTAACTCTCCCATATTTTTCAGTTCCATTTGTATCCCATAAATGAATTTCATAATATTCTCCTTTATATTTATATTGGAATGGAATATAATCTCTTCCAATTTCTATTGGTGCTTCTTCATAATCTTGTTCTGTAAAAGTAAATAATAAAGAAGTTTTTCCAACTCCAAAATTTCCAATTATTGGAATAAGAATTTGATGTTTCTCATCAAAGCTACGTTCTCCTTCAGTCATCTTTTAATTATTAGTTCTATCACTTTGTTTTTAATTTCTTCATAAGTTTGTAATTTTTCTTTTTAGGTATAAATAATTATAATTAATTTTATTATAATTTTATTATTTTTCTTTCATTCACATCATTTTTTAAATAAAATAAAATGGTTATAAAAGCAAAAAATATTTGCATCATCTCAAATATAAACTACGAGAAGAAACATACAGAAACTACAATATCAATTAAACTATGAAAATATCAAGCATATGGCTTGATGAAGGCTATGTTTGATTGAGTAATATTACTCACTAAAGACATTGGCAAAAGAGGTTCTTGTGTATAATTTTTTTGAGGATATCCCATTAAAAATGTTTCATATTGGTTATAAGGTTCATGACGTGGTAATAATCCAGTAGTACCAACTGTTAAATCAACTGGAGTCAATTGATAAAAAGAGTTTAACCCTTGAATATAATAAATATTTTCTGTATGAATTGGAGTAATAAATTGTTGATGAAGTGAAGAAGGATATGAAGAACCAACACTTATTTCATCTTCATTTATCTTATAATTTTTATCTTCAAGAATTTCTTCAATAGAAGAATAATCTATTTGAGAGTTAATGATTATTTCTTTTGATTCAGTTTCTTCAAATTTTTTTCCTAAGAAGTTAAGAGTTCTTTTGCCAATTTTTTCTATTACTTCTTTAGGAAAATCTTCATTCATAAAATGAACGTGTTTAAATCGTTTCATTTTAACTGTATTAATTGATTCTTTAGAATGCATAAATTCAAATGAATATCCAATGTTTTGAAGTATTTTTACTATCCAATTAAAAGCAACAGAAGAACAATTTTTTTGATAATACCGTTTTCTTTGTGATATATTTTGAATAAGTTCTGCTTGTTCTTTAGCTTCTTTTTCAACTTCTTCTTTTAATTTAAAAGTTTCATTACCTCTAATTTCAATTACTCTATAAAATTGTTCTGTTTTTTTACTTTTTTTTTCTAACCGTTGAATAACTACTTCTCTTTTATTTTTAACCATAAGATAAATCATAAATCCTATTTGATAACACTCTGAATTCTTTGCTCTTTCTTTTTTCTTTCTATTAGTTTCTCTTATAATATCTTCTTCTAATTGTTTTTGTGTTTGTTTAGACATTAAATTATAATATACATTTTTTAGGATTTTTTTTTCTTTTATATGTTTTTTTTTTCATTTCTTTTTATTTATTTTTTATTACTTTCGTTCTATTCTCTTTATTTCCCTATTTATAACTTTACTATTTATACATCTTTTCATTCTAAGTTTAACTATTCATCACTTTTCTTATAATTTTTCATTTTTTATTAATTCTTTACTTAATTTGTTCATTTTTTTACTAAAATTTTTTTTGGATTATTAAATCTATTAATAAATAACGAAAAAATAATTGATTTATTATTCCTCATTTATTTATTAGAAATTATTTTATTTCATTTTTATTATTTTTTGTTCTTCTAGAAGTATTTTATATTTTTTGTAGTTTTACAAAAGTATGAGTTTAATTTTTCGTGTGTTTCAGTCGTTAAATAATATTCTACTATTAGCAATAACCAGTTATTCAAAATTGACAAATAAATTCTTCTTTCATAAATGACTCTCTATCACGTACCTTTACTTTAAATATGATAAAATATATTTTATAAATTAACTATCATATCTATAAAGAAATAGAGAATATGATAAAACTTAATGGAAAGTTATAGATAAATACTTAAAACATTTAAACAATGTAGAGAAAAAAGTTAAGAAATTTAACTCAAGACTCAATGTATTAAAAATAAAAATGAATTTTTATTAAATGAAAATTTTATGAAATTATTATAAAATATTTTACATATATTATTAAATAATTCGGCAAAAAGTTTAATATATCAATGAATTTTCTTATCAAAATTAATAAATAATAATAAGATAATTAAATAGTTGTGAATAAACTATTTTTTTTTTGTTATTCATTATTCTGTATGATTAATCCTATTCCATAACTATATTTTCAAAATTATTTAAAACACAAATAAAAAAAGAGAAGAAATGTTAAATAATAATTATTTTATTAATTATTTGTTTTAATGTGAATTGTTATTTATTTTGTTATATTTTGGTGTTGAGTCTTTTTGGTTTATCATTTGTTTCAATTTATAGAATATTTCTTTTTTTTATTTTTCATTTAACGTTTAATCTTTTAAGTTATTTGTATATTTAAGAAATATTTAATTGTTACATCTACTTTATAGATTACGTAATAAATATTAAACATATAAACTTTTATTGGGATTAATGATTACTATTTGTATTTATATTATTTATTAATTAAACTAACACTATAAATACATTATTCATTATTAATTTTTTATCATTATCATTATATTAGTAATTTTTAACTCAATTAACTGTATTATCTATTAAATACTTATATACTTTAACTATTTTAAAGTTCTTCGTTTCTTTATTATTCTATTCATTTTTTTATATTAATTTATTCTTCATTTTCTTTCAAACAATAACACTAAGTGAAGTTATAGTAGGATATTTTTTGTACCAACTTAATTAAAAATAAAGAAATACTATTTGAAATAAAAATAAAAACGAAGAAATGTAAAATGTTAATTAAACACATTTCTTGCAAACTGGTTGACCATTAATTAACATATAAGAACCATTAAATGGTTTTCCACATCGAGTACAAACGAAACAATTTGGATGGTAATTATGGTCATCAACAACAAGGTATTTACCATCAAGTGGCTTACCGCATTTGAAGCATCTTGGGACACATGTTTCTTCATAGCAAATTGAACAAATTGGTTTTCCATCATGTTCCATTAATTTTCTATTACCACCAAATTTCTCTCCACAAACAGAACAAGTAAAACAATCAGTGTGCCAATATCTTCCAAGAGCCTTAACTCCTCCTTCAACTGGCTTACCACATTTTCCACATTTAATAATGTCTTCGTCAAGTGCTGATGGTGGTGGTGTAGTTGGTCTATGTTGAGTAGTTGGTTCATGTGAGGCTGCACTTTCACCAGTTGGAGCACCACACTCAGAACAGAATTTACCTCCACTTAATTTAGCACCACAGTTGGTACAGAATTTTGGTTTTGATGGGGAAGCTGGAGTAGGTTCTGTTTTACTTGGAGTAGAGGGAGCAACAGTAGCTGGTGTTTTAGCTGGTGTAGTTGGTTGTTTTGCTGGAGTTGATGTTGTTGGTTTTGCAACCTCCTTTTGTGGTTGAGCGGCTGGCTTTGGAGTTTCTTTTACTTCATCTTGACCTTCAAGTTGTAAAAATGGTTGTTTGTGTTCAATACAATGTTCAATAGCATCAGTAAGAGATTTGGTATCAACTATTTTAAAAGAAGTACCATCACCTTTGTATATTATTTGGAACTTAGCACCTGAATATTTTTGTTCAATTTCTTTGATGAACACTTCATATAAATTAGGTAAAGTACGTTCTATGTTGACAATTTTATTGGCAGTGCCGTATTTTACTTTAATTTTCATTAATGGCATGGCTTGTAGCTAAAATGGATTAAGTGATATCAAGATGAGATTGAAATCTAAAACCTCCTTTTTGCAAAAATAAACTCCAAGTCTATTTATTTTAATCTTTTTATTTTGACTTTTCCTTTTATTTATTAGATCCTTTTCTCTAAGGCATGGCATTAATGTATAGTTATTTTATTTAAATTTGAATAGGAAATTATTTTGAGGAGTATAATTTTTTCAGTAAAATTTTAAGATTTTAAAAAAAAAGTGTAAAACAAAACCAAAAAATTATCTTTTTTTTTCTTATTTTTGAAAATTTAATTTTTTCATTATTTTTCTTATGTTTCAATTTTTTTATTGTTTAGCATTTTTTATGTTAATACAAAACTATTTCTATTAAAATACTCTTTTCATTAATACCATTTTTGGATTATTTTATTTTCTTTTTGAAAAATGAAAGATTAAAATACTGCCAACTTTGTAAAGACAAGACAGTAACAGTATAACACATTCTACTCTCTTGTATTTGTCATAATAAATCACAAATGGAGAAACATGACAATATAGGCATTATAATATGGGAGGGATTAATAAGAAAATATACAGGAAATAAAAAATATAAAAACCTCCATATGAAACAATATTCAAATATAAAGACATTACTATGATATGGAACAAACAAATAATACTTAAAAGTGAATGACAATATCACAAAATACCAGACATATACGTATTAGATAAAAAGAACAAAACTGATCTATTATTTGATATGACTATTGTGGCTGATCACAATATTAATGGAGCCTATTTGAAGAAAAGAAATAAGTATAAGGAATTAAAGAATAGGCTAATGAAAATAGAAAAATTAAAAGATGTAAGAATAATTCCAGTAGTAATTTCAATAAATGGATTAATAAATAAAGAAAGTATCAGAATAATTAAAGAGTTAAAAATTGAAATTGACATCGAGAAAGAAGTAAAAAACCTTGTCATAAAAAACATGATGGATGTCATGGAATACTGCGGAGGTCATAACTAAAAATACTCCGTAGAGCTACTAGAAGAAGTGATGAGATTAGTCTCCACTAAGGCAGGAAGAATAGAAGTTAATTCTATTAATATTTAATTAATTGATTATTATTTAATTGTTTTATTTTTTTTCAATTATGTGTTTTTGTTCTTTCAATAACTTAATAGAATAGAAATTTTTCTCTTGATACTAATTCTTATATTTTAATTTAAAACTCTTTAATTTCTTCTTTATTGTATTGGTAATTTATTGTTCTCTTTTTCTTAAATATTTATGGTCTCTTATTATTATCATGAATCTTTCATTTTTAATTTCTTCTAGATAACTCTTCTTCTTTAATTTTTTTCTAATTCTTTCATTCAAGGTATAATGATTAAAAATGTAGTTACTGGTTTAGGTCTAGTAATGTCATTTAATTTATTAACAAAATTTTTATAAATTGGTTGTCCCTCATTCAATAGCTTTCTCTATGAGTTTATTAAGTAAGTTTAAATAATTGTCAGATATATATTCAAATTAAATTTTAAGTGTTATTCTGTATTCAATAAAAAAGAAACAATGAATATTCAATAATATAAATTAAATGATAACATATTAGTCTCTTATTTTTGATGTCTAAGTAAATATTATATTCTTAAACAATATTTTTGAATATTTTCTAATAATATTAGATACATAAATTTAGCAATAGTTTATCAACATATATAATTTTAAATGAAATTTATATTCATTATTTAAAATTATCTGACTATAATAATATAATTGTGAAGTGGTTTAATCTTTTTTTCCTGTACTTGCAAAAAATAAAATAAGAAATAGTTTGCTTTAATGTCATTTTCAATTTCTATAATACATAATCATATGAGTAAGTATTGATTCTTTTTAGCAAAAAATTACTTATTTCATTAATAAGAATATATTTAATTGTGTTTAAATAATAAAGATGACCTATTATAATATATTTTCAAATTATTAAGTAATAAAATATAAAGTTTATTTTTATAACATAACTCATTCAAATTTTATCAACAATTGTATTATTTTTTGAACAATTTTGTGAAATATTAATTTTATTTTAATGAATAATTCTTTTTGCTTGAATTAATCTTCTAATACATTGCAGAAAATATTATAGAAACATAAAACATAAGTTCTGAAAAAAAAAATAGAATGAATATAAAAACGAGAATGATGCAAAACTTTTAAATGAAAAATATAGTACATGAGCTGTGAAAACACTCTTGTATATGTCACAGGGTTCAGTAATGGTGTAGATGAAAAAAACATAATTGAATTATTTAATGAAAGGATTCAAGACAATATTGAATTTACTCATGTTGAACAAGGAAAAAGAAAAGTACTTTTAATTAGTATGGTTAATCCAGAAATTGCTCAAGAATTAGTTAAAGAATATAATGGAATAGAGTGTTTTGGCTGTCATTTGAATATATCATTATATAAAGATGATGTATTAACTTGTCATAAATTATATGTAAAAGGAATAGATAGATTAGTTGAGAAGGAACAATTTCAAAGATAATGGAAACATATGGTAATGTAATAAGTTGTAACATATCATTAAATAAAAATAAACAATCAAATGGATATGGATATGTTGAATTTGAAACTGAAGAAGAATGTCAAAAGGTACTTGATTCAAAAAGAGAGATTCAAAAACAAATAGGAGATCAAAATTTTATTATTGAACCATTTAATAAACCTGTTAATAAACACAATTGTATTTATGTAACAAATATTGATTCAACAGTAGAAGATATTGATATTATTACTTATTTCTCAAAATTTGGAGAAATAGAAAAAAAGGATAAGAAAATAAAATGTTTCTTTCGTCTTGAACAAACTCTCAAAAAGAAAAATGGATTTATTACTTATATTAATGAAGAAGATGCTACAAAAGCATTAAATAGTCCAACAGAAAATGTATTAGGAAAAGATATTCATATCGAATTATATAAATCAAAAAAAGAAAAGGCACAAGAAAAAGAAGAAAATCTAACATCTCTGTATAAAAACTATAATTTAAAAATTAAATTTAAGAAACGTAACAAGGTCACTCGAAAAAGTATTTCTAATTATTTCAAAGGTTGTGGTAAAATTTATAGCATCTATATTCAAATGAATAAGTAATTTCCAACTGGAACAGTGTTTATTTGTTTTACTGATAAAAAAAGCACTGACAATGCAATTTGTGTTGCTGAAGACAATGGGTGGGAGTGGAGTCATGTTTATAAACAAAAAAGAAGAGGTCATTATGAAACACCAAAAGGTGTCTTCAAAAAAGTAGATAATCCTACAAAAGATGAAGATAGATCAATGGATGAGTTTTAAATAATCAACATTCTTTTTCAATTCAACATATATTTAAAGAAAAAAACTTAGTTTATTTGATAGAGTTATAGAACAGAAAGTTAAGAACCAAATGCTCTGAATTGATTCTTTTTCTAATATTTTTCTTTTCAAATTTTTTGATAATTACATTTATCTCAAAAAAAAAACAAAAAAAAAGAAATTAATCAAAAAATCAATCAAAATAAAAAGATTCAATATTATTTTTTAGAAACGATAGTTTCAATAATTTGTTTTTTCATATTCATTAGTCTTTTCCATTTAGTAATATTATTTCTATATTCAATAATATTCATCTTCTCAATAACCTTTCTTCCAATGAAATTCTTTTCAATTTCTTCATAATTACTATTCATTTCTTCAATAATTTTTAATTTACCATCAATTGAGCTTTTAATAAATAATTTTTCAATAACAAAAGAACCATTTTTATTCATACTAATTCTCCAAATTTTTCCTCTTATCATTTCAATTAATTGGTTATTTTCATCATTAGTGTTATATTCAATTATTTTTTCAACAACATGACTTCCTTCTTTATTATTAATATATTCTTCAATTCTTTGTTCTTTTAATTGATAAAATTCTTTCATCATATCTTTCTTTCTTTGTTCAATTAACGTTTCAAGAATCATACAATATCCATATTCAATAAATTCTCTTTTTCCTTTCATCCATTCTTTTCTTCCTTCTTCAAAGATATTTCCTCTTCCACATAAATGATTTTTAATTCTTTTAATACATTCATCTTCTTCTTTTTTATTACCAATTTTTCTAATATTTTTCATAACATTAACTATTAACATAAAATATTTCTTTGAAATAATAATATCAATTTCTTTCAGTATCTTTTCAATTACTTCTTTAATTTCTTCACTTTGTTCAATAAATATTTGAATTACATGATTACCAATTCCATCATTAATTATTTCTGGTGTAATATATTTTTGACTAAATATTTTTAAATTTATATCATCCATTACTTTTATACTTTCTTCTACAATTATTGACCAATTTGGATCATTAATTGGAATTGAATTATTATTAATAATTCTAATCATTTGTTTCCCAATATTACTCATTTTATTACTTATTAATTTAATTATAATTGGAATACTTTCTATTTCTATTTCATGTGTTTCTTCATCTATTACATATTCACTTATTTTTTCTATGATTTCTTTATTTCTTTCATTCATTGAATATTGACTCATTACTTCAATCATTTCACTAATTACATGTGCTGAATATTTTCCTGTAAGTAATTCTTTTATTGTATATTTCTTTTCTTCTTCCATTTTATTCTCTTTTTCTTCTTCTTTGATTAGTTCATATATCGGTTCTGTTATTATTGTATTACTTTCTTCTCTTTCTTTTTCTTTCATTGTTCCAATTATCATTGAATATCTTTTATAAATACTTTCTATTACTCTTGACCCCATGGCATCATTGATTATTATATAATATTTCTCTTTCCCAATACTTTTCATCATTTCATCTAATTCTTCTCTTCCATACATCCCCACAAATTCTTCTACTAAAAATGAACCTTTTTTATTACAAAAAATACTGTCTTCTTCTCCTTTAATTCCTTCAACACTATTCCAAATAATACTTTCTCTATTTTCTTCATCTACTTTAATAATTCTACTCAATTCTTCAAGATATCTATATGTCTCACTCATCTCGTCTTTCTTCTTTTTTCCTTTCTTCTTTTTTTTTCTTTTTTTGTAGGGTTTTTTATAACAAAAAATAATAAAATGTTATTAAAAAATGAAGAAAAGAAAAAATTAACTTGAAATTGTCAAATAAGAAAAGATGTTATTCTTTACTTTAATTTTTTGTTTCATTTTTGGTGTCTTTGGTGATAAAGATCACCTTGATGTATGTGGTGTTGGTTGCCCAACATGTCGACCTGATGGTAGTTGTATGTCACAATGTTTTGGTGGATTTAATTCAGAGGATGGATGTTCTTCATGTGCAAAAGGTTATATTAATTATCCTTACTGTACTGCACTTTGTGGAAACTTTGTAATAGATGAAGGAGAAGAGTGTGATGGAGGAGAAGGATGTACTGAAGAATGTACTTGTGATCGTTCTAAGAATTATGAATATTCTAATTCAAAGTGTATTAAAGACACATATACATCTGAACTGACAATGGATATTATCACAGCTGTGTTATTTGCTTTTTGTATTCTTTGTGTATTACTTTATGCAGCATATTTAACTTATGCAAAGAAATATAGATTGTTAAGAGAAGATGCCACATCTAATACATCCAATATATCAACCCATACATCATCATCTTCTTCTGATGAAAAAGGAAAGAAATCAGGAAATACAGGTACTCCACCATCTATTGATTTGTTAACTAAGTCAGATCATTCTACTACATCATCAATGACAGATACAGATACAAATACTTCTACAGATACGTCATCTGATAATACTGATCGTTCTACAAAGAGAAGAAGACGTGCTATTTTCAGACAACGAGGGGATGTATATACAAAGATTCCAGAAAGAAGATATTTTTCATCTACACCATCATTTCCATTGGAATTATCAAAGAACACATTGTTATTTGGAGGGTCATTTGAAAAATTAAAAGTAAGAGTTCCATATACTGATGAATTTAGTATTGTTAATATGAGAAATTCTCCATGGAATTTTTCAGTAAAAGAAATTAAAAATCCAAAATATGAAATTCTTTTAGACCCAATAGAAGGTACTATTGCACCAGGAACACAAGTCAATATTATTGCACAAATTAAATTAAAATGTTCATGTCGTGTAAATGCTGAATTGCTTGTCACCATTAGACATCAAGAAAAGATGTATACATCAAATATTGATGTTCGTGCTGAAGCACAAGAGAGTGAATATATTGATGGAGATGAATTTGATTTAGAAAATGCAACACCATCAGAAATAAATATTGGACAATGTTATTCATTAATGTGGAAACAAAAACAAATCTTTATTAAAACATTTACAAAAGCAGAAAATCCAGACATTCAATTACGTTCAGAAATTAAATTTCTTCAAATTTTAAATGAACAACAACTTGCTTCTAAATATTATGGTAAAGCTATTTCACATAAATTATCATGTATTGTATTAGAATATTATCCATTAGGAACAATTGATCATTTTCTTGATCAACAAGTTATTTCTCCTAAATTAAAAAGAAAAATGTTAACTGAAATTGTAACAGCTATTTCTATGTTACATTCTTTCCATTTTATTTATCGACAATTAAATCCATCTTCTATTCTTGTTGCATCAACTAAATTATCACAAGGACCTCATATTAAATTATGTGGTTGTTCACAAATTATTAAAGCAGATGCACAAGGAGCAGTTAAATTTGATCAAAAAGGAAAATATAACTATTTTACGGATCCAATAGCATTTAATTCAAGTATGAAAGCTGATTATCCAATGGATATTTTCTCATTAGCACATGTTTTTGTTATGATGTATTATGGTGAACAAATAACTGATACATTTAAAGTTACTCCACATGAACTTTCTCAAATGCAATCAACAAATGATCGTATTTTTGATATGAATGAAATTCCAAATGGAATGAATCATGAATTTGCTCAATTAGTTTGTGATTTATGGAATTCAGATAGAGTAGAACGACCTTCCATTGCTGAGTTAGCAAAGAAAGTAAAAACAATACCATTAACACAAACAACACAAAATTAAATCATAATTGAATACAAGTATAAATTAAATTTGATATTTCATTGAAAGTTTTGCAAATATTTCATCAATAATTAAGTCTTCTCCAAAAAATCCAACTCTTTGTGAATGATTTACTAATAATAATACATTAGCAATTGTTCTTAAAGCATCCATTCTAAATAAACCATTTTCACTTCTATTTGATGAAAAAGCAGTATGTGCATGAATAATATCACCAAGCCATAATGGTAAAATAGGTATTTTTGGAGTAGGAGCAATAGAGTATGTGTTTCTATAAATAATATAATTTTTAGAAATATCAAATACTCTTTGTAATTCTTCAAATTGTTTAATACTTTTATGTGGTAATTTTTTAAATATATTATTTAATGAAAAATGAGATATTCCTGTATATAATGCATAACTTACATTAAATGAATTATGTTTTAAACCTTCTAATGCAACTTTAATAAAATATCTCATTCTATTAATTTCATTTGTATCTGTTTTAATTGAATATGATACCCACATTCCAAGATTATCAATTATTTCACAATAAAAATCAATTGTTGGTTTTTCTTTCATTTGTACACATTCAGATGTTTCAATATCATTTAATAGTAATGAATCAAATACCATTAATTGTTCTGCTAATATTTTTGATTTAACATCTGTTAATTCTCCAATTTTCTTTTTATTTTTTAAAATTGATGAATTAGTAACAATAGAACTTCCTGTACTTTTTTTATTATAAAATCTTTTTACTTTTACTTCTGATTTTATTACAGGAATTTCAATAATATCTCCTATATTTTCTTTTAATGGTAATTTTGGATTTATACGAATTAAATGTTTTAATAATGCACCAATACATTGAATATTTCTCTTACTAAGATCTTCTCCATCAAATACTTGTCTTAGTTTTTTACATAATTCATTTGGTTCTAATGCAATAGATAAATAAATTGCTAGTCTATTAGGAAAATCTGGTTCTGGTTGTTGTGGGAAAAATAGTAATGTTATTAATGCTCTAGGAGAAGCTGCAAATAATGTAGAACGTACATTAATATCATCGAATTGATAAATTGGATCAAACTGTGGATTATTAAATACATCATCAAATCTATGACATAATGTCTCTAATAAAGAAATTGATAATTGAGATGAATATCGTAATTCAATTGGAAGAAGAAATTGACAAATAGATAAAAATTCAGTTGATTCAGAAGAACAATCTTTTATAGAAGTAACTAATGTTTTAAGTAATGTTATATAACTACGGGATAATCTATTAACATACATTCTACATAATGAAACATCCCAATCTTCATTAATACCTATTCTTTGTGCAATTTCTGTATCAAATGAGAAATAAATATTAGAGTCTTTCATTTTTTGACATACTAACTTAATTTGTGATAAATCATTAATACAAGAATCTGCAATATTTTGTATTTCAGGATCTATTTCATCACTTGAATAAATAACAAAAGAATTATCAAGATGTTTTCTTCTAATTGAAATTGTTCTTGTTGATTTAAAAGATTGTTCAGATACAAAACTACTAATATCTTTTGTTGATCCATTTTGTGATTTAAATTTAGATGAACGGAAAGAATGTTGTGATTTAATTGACATAGAAATGATTGATTTTTTTTTGTTCTTTTATTTTTGTTTTCTTAATTCTAAAACATTTTTTTTTTAAATTGACTGTTTTCCCGACGTTTTTACTTTTATTGAATTGTTTTCTCTTTTTTTAAATTTCACTCAAAAAAGAATAAAAAAGATGCTTCTATCTATTTATAAAATCAGAAATATTAAATTAAATAATTTAATGTAGTAATAAATATTAATATACTAATATTCTAACTTTAAAACTTCAAAGTGTTAATTGAAAAAAAAATATGGGTGTAGCTCATTTAACTGTTTGTTATGTATTAGGGATTGTATGAAATTAAGTCAAATCATAATTTCAAATATTAATTAAAGATATTTAATTAATTAGACATTTCTTCGACATCTTGAAAAAGGGTTTCCATTATTTTTAATTGCAGAGAAATATTATAAAGGTTTGTTTATGTAAAAAATAAAACATTTAAAAAAAAAGCCAAAAAAATAATAATAATAAATAATAGAAACAACCAATAATACGAAATTAATAATTGATGGAAGTGGTTTTATGTTTCAAATATTAGAAGAGTGTAATTCAGATATGTTTAGTTTAGATCAATTTTTTAAAAAAATGTATTCAATATGTTTATTAAATCATATTCAATTAATATTTGTATTTGATGGAATGACACAACCAATTAAATTTCATGAGTCTATTTCTCGATTAATACAACAATCAAAAGAAAATAAAAAATTCTTTTCAAAGCCATCAACTGTAAATGAATTACCTATTACTATTTTTAGTGGTCTTAAGAGAAGTATTAAATATTTATTACTAAAATATGGATTTGAATGTGTTAGAGCATATGCAGAAGCAGATCCTGTTATTATAGAAAAGTCAGTAGAAGTTAATGCATATGGAGTTGTAACAAGTGATTCAGACTTTTATTTATCAAAAGCAAATATTGTGTTTAATACTTCTAATTTTATTAAATTATTTTTAAAAGTTATAAATGAAAGAAATCATCCTAATTTGAAAATTTATTTTAAGGGAATTCGTACTTCTGATGTTATTTCTTATTTTAATTTTAATAAAGATTTCATTCCACTGTTTAGTTGTATATGTGGTAATGATTTTACAAAGTCTCTTAGTCGTAAACTACGTAAACGTTTAAATATCGTTGAAAATATAAATGTTATTAATGATGTCGTTAATTATTTTAGAAAAACTGAATTTACTCCAATTACTCTTCTTAACTTCCTTCAATCAACACTTTCTAAAAATGACTTTGATTTATTAAAAGCTGCACTAAAACAAATTAATCGAATGTGTTGTATTACTCCTCCTTCAATTGAAACTATTAGAAAAGAAGAAGTTTCACCATTACCTCCTGAAAAATTTCCAAATTGTTATTACTCATTTTCAATAACATTGTCTGCAATTTCTGTTGCTTCTTTTCCATCTCTTAGATGTTGGGATAAATTTGATTCTCCTGCATTTGTTTGTTCTAAAATAAGATCTCTTTTATATTCTTTAGTTCAACCTAATAGTGAAGTTATTGAATATTTTGATAATAAATCTAATGATGTTCGTATTGGTCACTCAATTAAAACTGGAATTAATGTTGATGGTGATTTATGTCATTGGCTTGATTTATTAAAATTTCCAATTAAGTCAATACAATTAGTACAAAAGTGGAAAGATAATTGTGTTGAGTTTTGGAAAATTATGACATTTATCACAATGAAATATATTCAAATATATTCTTCTGATTTTTCCAATTTTGCCTTTTGTGTTGTTACATGGTATTCTTTATGTTCTCAATATCCAAACGTTTATCAACCACCAGAATATCGCCCAAAAAGAAAAGTTGACCATAGGATGCCAATTCATTTATTTACATACATTCATGGTATTTCTTATCACTTACTTGAAATTGTAATAGATAGATGTGATATTGATTATCATTTTGTTGAACAATTTTATTCTCCGAACCTTTATACATTTAGTAAGATTTATGATAAGTCTAATACTGATACATTATTCTTGAGATTAGATGAGTTATGTAAAAATGATGAAATCTTTAATGAAATTTGTGATGCTCTTAATCTAAAGAAAAATTAATAATACTTTTATTATTATTTTATTAAAAAAAGTAAAAAAAAAAACTAAAAACTAAAAAAAAGATTATATTTTTGAGAAGTAATAAATATGATTATTATATTTTTAAGTTTTATTTACTTTGGAACTGCACAAACAATGTATGAGTTTGATAGTGATGCACTAGCAACAAAAGATGAAATGATTGACATTATTCAAAAATCAGCAACTTATATTGCTAAGTCATATCCAGTACAAGAGATAATCAAAAAATTATTTAATGACTCTGTTATAGAAATTAAACAAAAATATATTTATGGTTCATATAAAAAATTAACAAATGTAGAACATGAAGCATTTATGAATATTACAAAAGAAATAAATGAAACACTTATTCGAAAGCCAGAAGTTGCTGAACAATTTAGTACTGAATTAGTATATGATATTATTAAATTAAGAAATGGAGTTCACAAAGATTCAGAAACAGCAAAATATGAAGCTACATTTTCACCACAAACATATCAATTAAATGAAACAAGTTCAGAAGATGCTAAAGGACAATTTAAATTATTTGAAAGAAAAGTATATGAATTTAATACAAAAATTAAAGAAGTAGAAGATTTAAATAAAACTGCAATGATCTCTTTTTATGATGGAAGATATGCATTAAATCAATTGAGAAAAAAAACTGAACAAAGTTTTACAAATGGACAAAAAATAGAAGCTCGAACAGCTAAAACTACATTAATGAAAGCAGAAAGTAAACTATCAAATGCAGAAACTGCTAAAAGTGCATATGATGCAGTAATAGAAGGAATTAAAATGATGTGTGATGAAATTCAAAGAAAAGTTGATGAAATTATTCAAAAATTTAGTCCATATTATAAAGAGTTATTAATAAAATGTCTTACTCCAAAATATAGATATAAAACTCGTCAAGAAGTTGGATTATTTACTAATATGACATTATACAATACTGAAATGACTGAATTAGAAAAAGAATGTCATTTTCTTCCAATAAACCAAACACAAAGAGAATTAGACTATCAATGGGTAATTGAAAGTAATGTGAATAAAACACAAATTCTGTGGAGTTAAATAAATATATAACTAAGACTCAACAATAAGTTTTTGTTCTATTTTATTAAATTGAAACTATAATATAATAAATAAAAAACTAAACTAGAAATAAATTAAAAATAAAAAAAGAGATGAGACGTGGAACAAAAACCTTAAAAGAAATAATTAACACAAATGCTGAAATAATATGTAAATGGACAACATTAAGTACTCAACGCATTGTGTTTTATACTAACAATTCAATGATTGATATTCCTCGATTTCAAAAACAAATTATATTACAAAAGAATTATTTAATTATATTTAAAACAACTGATGGATCAATTTATGGGACTTATAATAATTCTAATTTAAATGAAAATAAAACTGATGTATTTAATGATATTAATCATTTTATATTTCAATTAAATCCACCAATGCAATTTAAAAGAAAAGAATTTAATGATAATTCATTTAGAATTTTTCCTTGGAAAAAAAGATCAAAATTAGTTTTTTGTGTTCCTGGTGCTTTTATTATTTCAAACCCACAAGGAGTAATTTATCCATATATTTCAAGTTATTATAATGGAGTAACTTGGATAGGAAGGGTTATTAGTATTAGTGAACTTGCTATAGTACAATGTATTGGAAAAACAGAAATTGCACCAATTACAATTGCTCCTCAAAAATCACTTGAAGAAATTTATAAACAATTCGAAAATATTCTAAAAAGTTATTTTAATAAACCTGTTTTATTAAGAAAAGTTGTTGGATGGAATAAAGTAATGATGAGTTCAAATGAATTTAATCAAACAATTCATTCATTAAAAGGATTTATTGTGTTAATTCAAACTATTGATAATTATGTATTTGGATCTTATAATGAAAAGATTCCTGATCATAAATTTGACAATGTAAAAGACCTTGTTGATAATGAACATTTTGCTTTCTCTCTTATTGGTGTTTCTTTACATCATCCAAAAAAATTTATTAGAACTAAAAAAAATACAAGAACAGTTCGTTATTATCCTGATAATCAACAAGCTTCAATTTTTGGTATTCCTCGTTTTTATTTTATGTCAAAAGAAGCTATTCAATTATCTTATGATTTTAGTGTTTATTATCAAGACGTCCCTCCTGAAGGAATTGAACTATTTGCTGTTGGAAGAAAAAAACATCTTAATTATATAGTTAAACCTTTAGAAGTTTGGATCATTGAAGTTATTAAATCTTCAGACTAAAATGTATATTATCCTTTCTTTATTAACAACAAATTAGATTTTTTTCTTTCTTATTTGAAAATTTTAATTATTTAAAAATTTCATTCTTTTTTTTTTAGTTCTTTTTAAATCGTTCTTTTTGAATATGAACTAAAAAATAAAATAATAAAAAAGTAATTGACTTTCTTATGACAGAGATTTGTGAAACTATGAGACTTGGAAAAAATCATCAATTATTTATTCAATTATTAGGTTTTAATCAAAAAATTAAAGGAAAGAATCATGTTGTATTTAGAAATAAAGAGCATATTATCATTGACTTATTTTTAAATGATGAAGATACAACAAAAACAATGTTACGGTCATTTTTTGTTAATTACATTAAATTATTAAAAGTAAATTATTTATCTCTTCAAGAAATACAAAACAAAATACCTATTAAAGAGAATGATAATGATGGTAATATTATCATTTTTATTGGTGATGATGTATTAACAATTACACCAGAGTGGTATAATACTTTACCAAAAAATGATTTAATAAATAAATGGTGGATGATATTTGATTATGCTTTTAATTTTGATAATAAAATTTAAAAAATTAAATAATAATCAAATGACTTTTACATCTTTTATTAATTTATCATTTTTTTAAAAAATATGGTTGTTGTTTTAGATCCTTGAGACCCTCCAAATTCAAAGTTTCCATCTGCAATTTTATCTTCTTCTTCTAATCCTTCACCTAACCAATTAATTAATTCATCCTCAGTCCAATTACATGAAGTAATAATAAAATACCCTCCTTTACTTAACCATTGATTTAATACTTTTTTATATTGAGCAGCTCGTTCTTTTTGATTCTCTGCAACCATCAATGCATCAAAAGTTCCTTTATCAATTACAATATCCATTTCTTGAATCTGAGAATGTTCAAGACAATTCGGTTCTAATATATCCATTTGTTCTATAACTACTGTACTTAAGTCAATCCCTTCTTGTTCTAAAACTTTTTTTGTAAATTTAACTGATGCTGGTGAATAATCCATTCCATATAAGTGTTGATACCCTTCTTTACCCAACAACGATAATGTATATCCATTTCCACATCCAACATCTAAAATTTTCATTTCTTTTGTTGCAAACTCTTCTAATCGCTCTACAACTTGTTCTGCAATATCTTCCCCAAACCAAACTTCACCAATGTCATTTTTGTTATTCTCAAAGTTTTCTAACTCTCTATTATAACATTCCTCCCAAAATTCTTTTTTTGATAATCGTTCTTCAGGTAGATAACTCATAATTCTCTTCTTTGAATTGTTTGTTTTCAAAAAGGGTTTTTTGTTATATATAAATTATAAAATTTTATTATAATTTATTTTAATATTTGTTTTGGTTTATATGAATTGATTGATTACTCTCTTTCAAATAAATTTCTTATTTCATTTATTCAGAACAAATTGATCCAGTAACTCCAATATTTAATACATAAAAAATAAAGGTATAAATGAAAATTGATTTTATATATTATTGTATAAAAAATATTAAACAATACTTTTGATACATTCGTTTAATAATTTTATTAAATATTAGCATTTTATTTCATATACTTAAATTTTTATTTTAACTAATTTTGTTTCTATTTTTTTTATATATAAAATATCAAATTATTGACAAAAATATAAATAATAAAAAGAATTTGAATTAGTATAATAACTCAAAAGTTGTTTTATGAAATTTAATCAGAATCGTCATCACTATCCTTAGCAGCAGCAAGTCTCTTATATTGTTTCTTTAATTTCTCATATTGTTTATTAACCTTATCAAGTTCTAATTGTTTATTAGCAAGAGCGTCAGTTCCTTTCTTAATTTCATCTTCAAGACTACTCATTCTAGTCTCATCGTCTCTAACTTGTTGTTGATATTTCTTAAGTTCAGCTTGAGTTTTTCCAATTTGAGTATTGAAAGAAGCTTCTTTAGTTTCATAATCAGCAATAGTCTTTTGAAGTTCATCTAATTTCTTTTGACTAGTCTTAGCTTTCTTTTCAGCTTTCATCTTAGCCTTAAGAGCATCTTCAGCTTCTGTTGTTAATTCTTCAATTTCAGCTTCATATTTAGCTTTAACTTTAGCAATAGAAACATTGGCTCCTCCAACTTCAGCAACTTTAGTTTCAAGTTCTTGGCATTTAACTCTAAGTCTTTGAACTTCTTTTTCTGAATCTTGTTTAAGTCCTCTTTCTTTTTCCAATTCTTTTTGAAGGTCATCCTTTTGAGCAGACAATGTATTAATTCTTTTATCAGCAGTTTCTTTATATTCTTCGAAATCATTATCATTTTCTTGTAATTCTTGTAATTTCTTTTCGTATGCTTGTTTTTGTTTTTGTGCTTTAGCTCTACCAGCCTTTTCAAGATCAAGTTGTTCTTGCATTTCTTGAATTCTTGAATCAAATACACTCTTTTGTTTAACAAGAGTCTTGTACTTTTGATCAAGTGTAGCTAATTCATCTTCCTTATCAGCAAGATCATCTTGTGCTTTATCTAATTGATCTTTAACATCATCTAATTCATTCATTAATGATTTCAATTCTCCATCAGCAGCTCTATAATCTTTAGTAGCTTTAGCCTTTTCTTGTTGTGCAAGGTCAAGATTCTTTTGAAGGGCTTCAAGTCTAACTTGAACTTCAGCAGCTTCTTTCTCTAATCTTCCTTTAAGTCTCATAGTTTCAGCATGATTCTTCTTTTCTGTTTCAAGAGCATCTTTAGTAACTTTCAATTCATCTTGGAATTTCTCCTTCATAGAAACATCACTGTCTTTACTATCAAGAAGAGCATTGTATTTACGATCAAGTGAATCAATTTCTTCATTCAACTTATTGTTATCATCGGTAATCTTCTCAATTTCGTCTTCAAGAGCTTTCTTTTCTTCTTTAAGAGAATCAATTTCTGCATCATTTTCACTATTCTTAGCAACTAATTTCTCTCTTTGGTTAGTAACATCTTCTAAGTTGAATTTAACTTCATCAAGTTCTGCTTGAATCTTCTTTCTTTCAGCTTCAGCATTAGCTGCAGTAGTTCTTTCTTGTTCTAATTGTTCCTTTAATTCAGCAATATCACTTTCAAGTCTTTGTTTTTCTTCTTCTTGAGCAACACTACTTGGTGCATTAATTTGGAATTTAAGTGCTTGGATTTCAGTTGTTAATTTCTTAACTTCTTCTTCAAGTCCTTTTCTCTTGATTGTTTGTTCACTAACTGCTTTATCAGCTTCATCTTTATCTTGTTCAAGTCTCTTTTTAGCATTTTCTAATTTCTTCATTTCATTTTCAGTAATTTCAATCTTACTTGTTAAGTCATTATTTTTAGCTTTCAATTCTTTATTTGTAGCTTGAAGTTGATTGTTTTGATCACCTTTCATTTCAAGTGCCTTGTTCAAATCTGCAATTTGTGCATCTCTAATCTTAATTTCATTTTCATCAGCATTTCCAGTTCCAACTGGTCTTGATTCAAGTTCATTAACTTGTTCTTCAAGTTCTGAAATCTTCTTCTTATCTTTATCTGCTTTACTTCTTAATTCATTAAGTTCTTCTTCTGCACTTTGATTATCTCTTGTTAATTTCGTAATTTGTGTATTTAATTTAGCAACAACTTCATCATGTTCTTCAACAGTCTTATTTAATTCTTCAAGATCAGCATCTGATTGTTTCTTAGCAGTGAAAATTGAATCTTTTTCAGCAATTGCAGCATTTAATTTATCTTTAGTTTCTTTCAATTCTCCTTCTAATTTTTTAACTTGTTTTTCTTTGTTCATTCTGTCTTTCTTTTCAATATCAAGGTTCTCATTTGCTTCTTCTAAATCAGCTTCTTTTCGTTTAAGTACTTTTTCATAATTTTCAACTTTGTATGTATTTTCTTCATCACGAGCCTTAATCTCTTCTAATGTCTTTGTCATCTTCTTATTATCAGCAACAAGTTTATCTCTTTGTGCTTCAACTTCAGCCTTCTTTTCATTAGCTTCTTGTAAATCAGCAGTTGCTTTTCTTAAATCAGCTTGAATGTTCTTTAATTTTTCATTAGCTTGATCAATTTCTTCACTAAGTGCAGCCTTTTCATTTTCACTGTCTTTATTCTTAGATTCAACAACAGACTTGGCTTTAGTAAGTGCTTCAAGTTCAGCTTTCAATGAATTCAATTCTTTATCACTTTGTGCCTTCTTCTTATTCAAAAGTTCGGCATCAGCAACAGCCTTTTCATGATTGTCTTGAACTTCATTCAATTGTGCTTCAAGATCTTTTGCCTTAGCTTTAAGTTTTTCATTATCAGCAGTCATATCATCAAGTTTCTTTTGAGTATCTTTCAAATTATCTTCAAGTTTCTTCTTATCCTTTTCTGTAGAATTCTTACTACTTTCGACATTTTCTTTTTCTTCTTGAAGTGCTTTCATTTCCTTTTCAATTTCTTTCTTCTTCTTCTCTGCATCTTCTTTTTCAACTTCTGTTTCATCAAGTTTTTCTTGTAAGCTTTGAATTTCTAATTCCTTTTCTTTAATTGTCTTTTCTTTATTTTTAACATCATTTCCAATTGCTTCCTTTTCTTCTTGCATTTTAGCAATTTGTGATTCATATTCTTCTTTTTGTTTTTGAAGATATTGTGAAACATCTGCTCCTTTAGTAATTTCATCATCAAGTTCTTTAATCTTTCTTTGAGCATTTCTCAAATCACCTTCAATCTTATTCTTATCATCTTCTAAATCTTCATAATCTTGTTTTAATCCACTAATCTTCTTTTCCAAATCTGCTTTTGTTTTAGTAAGATTCTTAGTAGTTAATTTCTCATTCTCAAGATTTTGACTTAAAGTATCTCTTTCATCAGATGCTTTCTTAGTAGCAGCAACTTGAGCAGCAAGACTCTTTTCTGTTTCACCAAGTTTCAATTGTGTTTGTTGTAATTCGTTAGTAAGATCTTTATTCTTATTTTCTTCATCTTCTAATTCTTGTTCTAATTTAGCAATTTCATCCTTAGCATCTTCACATTCAATTGTAATCTTATTCAATTTCTTAGCAATGTCATCCTTAGTAGCACTAACATCAGCTCTGTCTTGTTCAAGATCATCCTTTTCTTCTTCAAGTAATTTAATGTCTCCCTTTAACTTAGTAATTTCATCTTCTTTTTCATCAATACTTTCTTGCATTTCAGCAATTGTCTTATCTTTCTTGTCTACAGTAGCATTCAAAGTGTTGATTTGAGAATTCAATTCAGTAATTTCATCTTCTAAATCTTCTCCTTTCAATTTAGAATCTTTCAAATCTCCTTTAAGTTTATCAATAGTTTCTTTCAATTCTTCTTTATCTTCTTCAAGGTTTTCAATCTTCAAATTCAATTCTTGTTTATCTAATTCTGCAGCTGATAATTTGCTTTCTAATTCTGAAATCTTATCTTCAAGATCTTGAATCTTAGCTTCTAATTCACCAATCTTAGCTGTAGCACTAGCAAGTGCATTTTCAGCAGCTTCTCTCTTTTTAATTTCTTCAGCAAGTTTTTTCTTAAGATCTTCAATTTCTTTATCTTTCTTCTTTCCTTCTTCTTCAAAGTTTCTTCTCTTTAAC